GTAATCTCTTTGTACTGTTCTGGTTCAGTGATAGTGCCACTATCACTGAACCAGAACAGTACAAAGAGAAATAGTGTCTATTAGTAACTAAGTATTTAGTTTCTATTTCATGGTTCAAGTGACTCTGCTCTATAAATTGACAATGTTATACAATGTTAGTTTACTAATGTTAGTAAACTTTCCCTAATATTCTAAATATGCGACTGATCTTTTGTCCTATTGTTCTTTCCCGGTAGGCATACGTATATGACTTATATATAAGCAAACTTGAAGTATAACTGATTTAAGCTATTGGAATTCTTGTTAGGAACAGTATACTTTTTAATGCCGATTGGCTCAGGCATTGATTTCTGATCTTGAGACATATAAGCCAACCCGCAATCGATCTTTGTCCTGCTTTGACTAGTTAAACTACTTTCAGGTTAAATTCATCCAAATTGTAACCAGTGTATATTTATTAATTAATTAATCATCATACGTTAGACTGCACCTGGCAGAAAAAAGATTTGCTTGCGAGTCATCCACAGTAGAGAACGTTTGGTTCAAAAGATACCAAAGAACAATAGGTTCAATTCTATGATGTCATCGACTGTAAAAATCTATGCTAAAATATTTAAGAATATTATCCACTCATGATTAAAATATCACATTGCTTAATGATCATTAAAGCAACATAAAAAGGTTTATATACTTAATTTTCAGCAAATTTCGTCATGATAGCACTTTAAATGTATAACTATAGCCAAATGCAGAGCTAAAACATAAAACATTTTGTGATAAGTCTTTCAGCTGTAACGTACTTATTGGAACTCGGTGTGGACTCGACTTAAACCTATGGAATTATGACTAGATATTTATCATAGTAAAACATTAGAATTCTAAAAGCTATATATTAGTTATTTTTAAATTTATCCACATTTTTTGCGAAATAAATGCTGCACTTTTATCAATGAAATCAAAGTGATTAATACGTCTTTGACTTTGACTTCGTCTGTGTAATCATTTTTTTTACCACTTTTTTTGGTGAAATGGTTTTAAAGAGATACTTGGACAAACATTTTGWRCATTTTTTGAGAATTCCCGCAAGGTAAAATTTTGAAAAATCTTCACTCTAAAGCTTTTGTAAATTAACGAAAAAAATTAYAAGCGCGCGCCGGGCTGAAGTCCCAAAAAAATTCTTGTGTAGCCGTGTGAGTGCGGCGGCTTGGGTAGAGTGTGTGTCCTTGGGGATTAGGCCGCGTACTTAAAGGCCGGTCGCTCGCAAAGGAGTAGACGAAATAACAATCACTGGTCAATGGGCGGTTTTGCCTATATACAATAAGAAACTGAATAAGAAGCAGTTTGACGGCAAAGCAAAAGACGAATATAGTTACTGTTGAAGGATATTGACTGACAGCACTGTTGCATTTTCACGGACAAAATCTTCCACCTCCACCCCCTACCCCTCAAAATTCTAATAGAGAATATTGAGACTTTACTCATCTGGACATAAGTGTAAAGACAAGAACTTTCAGGAGGAGCCGACGGGGTCTGTTCTGCTAAATAACTGTTCTTGTACGAATTTTTTCCTGGGAAAGGGATTTTTAGCTATACATTGTTGAAAATCTCAGAAGAAAATGTGGCGCTCTCGCTTCTTTAAAAATAATTTGTTTCTGGCAAAGGTTTTTAAGATCCAAAAAAGGCTTATACAACGTTATGGCCGTTAAAAACGACTTTGCGATTACTTGTCACTTGCGATGTCTATTAAATCATCAAGATATATTTCAGCTTGTACATCTTAAATTTATGTGAAAAAATTAAAAACTACCTATAGTTGAAAAATGAAATCATATCTTGGTCAATTTCAATAACACATCACCTAGCCTGTTTAGATTTCCATTTAGCATGTTTCGTTTCATGATGGATTGTTTATAAAAAAGATAACCTAAACAAGGTTTAGCTAGCAGATTAAAATTGATCAGTGTTGTTGATAAAATCTTCTTAAAACTGAAAAAATAATTTCAATATCAAACTAATTGTCAGTTTAAGTAGTTTTTGACATTTGCTACAGTTCTGGTTGTTATTTACGTTGAATGAAACTAATGAAAATTTTGAAAAAAACTGTAGTTACCCCCTCTGTTAATTAGGTAATTTTACTTTGAGCCCCCCTATAGTGGCATCAATTTTCTGTAATGCCACCCCCCGTCCCCCTCAGGTTTTGCAGCCTTCTTCCTGGTAAATATTGCACAGTCCCTTACTATAGCTTAAATTTGTGGTCGAAATTTCATTTCAGTTGTTTTCATCCCATAAGACCATATGYGTTTGTACGTATACCACTGCTTTCCACCCATACCAATCTTTACTGAAAATATCCCATTGAGGCTAGACWYTGAACACWTCCCATACCACCAAGCACCKGAATTTTCAACAGCACAATTGCGATTTTCACTCAAATCGTTATMTCTATCTTTGGTGGTAAACATCATGTTTTTGTGATATGCTAATGAGTCTCCAGCTGTACCCGAATACGAGTCAACCCTCAGCCTGTACTTGTCTGATTCATTAGCTACACTAAAACTGCCATATTTGGCATAAATYCGAGTTCCATCCCAGTCCCCGAGCTCAACGCGAAGACTTGATGCTGTTCTTGCTGTCAGTTTATGGATGTAATCGTTACCCAACCAAAACTCGCCATTCAGGTTTCCAAAACCCTTTTTGTATTGTTGCCAATTTCGATAGAAATCGATAGATCCATCAATTCGTCTTTGGAAAACAGTCCATCCCCCACCGTCAGTTGTCATGTCACAGTAAACTTGAATGGCGCTTTGGCTMTCTGCAGGTTGAACTGTGTACACACCGTCCCGTCTCTCTCCCAAATTGTAGATTTCTGAACAATCTTTTAAGTCCGCATAAACGGTCGATTTGGATTGTTTTTCAAATTTATGATACATTTTAGCGGTACAAACATACACACCTGAGTCTGCTTTTTTGAAATCTTTTATGATCAAGGAGCCATCTCTCTCTTCACTACTGCCAGAAGGAAGAGCGCCATTTTCTTTTTTCCATGTTATAGTTATTGSAAAGTCTCCTTTGGCACTACAATTCAGGCGAATAGTTTTTCCAGGAATGGCGACGAGTGATGTAGGAGGTTTTACAGTGAATTTTGGCAGCTCAACAACAATAAGAATCGTTTTCTTGGTAACAATACCAAGWMGATTCTCAGCTTTACAAGAATATGTGCCAGAATCTTCTTTCTTGGATCTCAATAACGTCATTTGSCCATCCTTGATAATGGTGCTGTTGATATCCAACGAACCACCAGACTTCAACCACGTGATATTTGGTTTAGGACGTCCTGTCGCCCAACACCTAGGCATAACGATGTTTTTGCCCATCTCTTTAAAAACTGGTCCACCACTCAGGGTCACTCGAGGAGCATAGTTCACTTCGATCGTCACATTGCTTTGCTCACTACCAAGAATATTCGTGGCTTTACATTGATAAGTACCCGAATCATGCGGACGGACTTGCTTTAGCCTTAGTGCACCGCTACTGTCGACAATAAACCTCTCTTTTGGTAATGAGCCATTGACTTTACTCCACGCAAAAACAGGTTGTGGATATCTACTGGCAGAACAATTCAAGATGGCCGACTGACTTTCATTGACAACCAAACGTGGAGGTGAAATAATTACTGATCGTGGTGGTACTACGGACTGACCTGGTGGTYCTCTCGGTCCTGGTATTTCCTTTTCAAATTGCAAGGCCCCCAAAGCTTGTATGATCTTATGAATGTCCCTTTTGAGCTCAGCCAGTTCAGCCGCCATTTGTTGTTGATCTGGTATGATGGCTCTTTTCTTTCTTTTCAGTGAAGAAAAAGGATTTTTGTTGTTTTGCTCCTTTTTTCCTCGTGGGAGATCTAGACCCGGTGCTCCATTTTTTCTCGGCCGATTTTGCCTTTTAAAACCAGCCTTGACAAAGATATTCATCCAGCAATTGTTGTTTTCGTTTTCCAAATGATTCATTCTTGTTATTTGAGCATTCAACATCGTCTTAATATTGTCAATTTCTTTTTCATGCCTCGCAGAAGCGAAATCAGCAACATCTGGCGTGTTCTTGTTACCTTGTGTTGGGTTTTTTGACTTTTCCAACTTATTGACACGTGCTCTTTGCTCGTTTAAGACCATCTTGATGCGCAAGAATTCGCCAGTGTATAATAACAGCATCACTATCCAAACAAAGATGTTGAATCTTGTTAAGCGTAACAAAACCACCTTATCTTCCATTATGAAGACAAAGAACATTCCCTTGACCGCTGGCTAATAGCAGTATATATGTATGCTGACATACTTTAATTTTTAATGCACAATTGACAGGCAATCAGACAAGAATTAATTAAATGCGATAATAATTGTTTTTTTATTAGTATGATCGAAAATTAAAACTTGTGAGACTTTCTGTCTCGATAGTAGAATAATATTTACTTCCTACCTCACGATGGAATTCAGCTGCTTGTCATCGATGAAAACATAACTAAACATTTTGATCCAAACAGACTTCGAAAAACAAAAATGAAGAAAAGATACCAAGCATCCGGCTTTGAACAGGTATTCCAAACTAGGTATTTGTGTGTGTGTTTTTAGCAATTTTTCGACATTTAAAAAGTTTCAGGCCATTTGCATTGCTTCTCAATATTGAGTGATTAATGGCTGATGTTCCCCAGGGGCCAGTTGTTCAAAGCCCGATTAGCGTTAATCCAGGGTTAACTCCATAGGTTTTCTAAGAATTAAACCACGATTAGCGCTAATAGGGCTTTGAACAACCCGGCCCAGAACTCAAACGGCCTGAAAATTCACAGAAATGTAAAACTCACAGCACACAGTTGGATATGTTTATTTTTATTGAAATTTATATATTTCGAAAAATTGCTAAAAAATTCGAACAGAAACCTAGCTTGGGATACCTCATATTTTGAAATATGAAAAAAATGAAGGAAAAAAAAGGAAAGAAAAAAGGAAAAATTAAAAAAGGAAGAAAAAGGTAGCAATGCTAATTAGCGGCGCCTATTTAAGTAACAATGCGCGCAAAAAGAAGGCAAACTTCTATTGTTCTGCGGCAATTGCAACTTCCCCACATACGAATGTCTTGGTTTTCACACTGATTATATATCAACCTAYGCRTAACACATTTTTRAAAKAAAATGTGGATAAACTCTGTTTTGAAACAAAGTTTCTTTTGTATTAAAWGATCTTGTCCAATCATAAGCACTCAAAACAATAGCCAAAAGATGCTTSTAATTTGCTATGTTCCCCACATAGAATTSCTATTAATAWYAAAGCTAAGGAAAGCTTTTATAAAGTTAGAATCAGATATTAAATAAAATRTTAAAAAATGCGATTACTTTTGAAATTATGTCAAATTYTAATRTTTTAACCAATGAGATGGATGGATTATACAATACACAATTAGCACCTTCATGCATTCCATTGCCGTTTGCTTGCCTGCTTCTTACTCGGACCATTACTTAATATGGGGGCAAAGTGTCGATTGTCAATTAGAAAAAAGAGAGAAAAAAAGCCAATAAAAGAGAAAATATCAACAATCAAATCAATAATACAGRCACGTACAACACGCAAGTTACAGAGCTGTTCCCAGTTAGCAATGTTTGTGATTTAATTTTGAGTATGGTTCATTTTGTCATAGCAGGAGATCAATAAAAGCTGAAAAATATAGAAAGCTTGGAACAGATCATGTAGACAATATACTGATAATTACTCGGTTGAATCCATGGTACCGCTTTCTCAAATTATAATTCCTTACGATCAAATGCGGTATAACTCATGACTCATCAAAAACGGTCATATCAGTCGTTCCCTTGTATTTGGAGAAAGCGGACGTTTACACCCGGTTCACACGCGACTCACTTGAGTAAATTTAGATCACGTATGTATTACCTACAATGCATCTGATATATTTATAAAATGATATGTGGTTATAGTTAYTATTTTCTGCAATTGACTGTACTTAGAAGCGATTAATATTTATGCTTGTTATGAGGCAATAGATCACAAGCTAAAGGAGTTTCATTTGCTAAAGCGATGGCTTTCAAGCTTTACCTCATCTCTCTACTGTGAATTTATTTGGTATGTGGAAAACGCACGGCCCTCAAAACCCTTAACCTGTCTCACACCATTTTTTTTTTATTTTTATTTTACATACCCTACTCCAGACTAAAGGTACAAAGGTACATTATTTTAGCGCTGAAGGCGTGGCCTAGCAGATAGGATCACAGGTAAAACTCTACCCTACCCCAGACAATGAGACTATACCCTATCCTAGACAAAAAACTACCCTATCCCAGACAAAAAGGCTACCCTATCCCAGACAAAACTACTACCCTATCCCAGACAATGAGACTATACCCTATCCTAGACAAAAAACTACCCTTTTCCAGACAAAAAGACTTCCCTATCCCAGACAGATGGGCAAAACATGATACCCTATCCTAGACCCTATCCAGCGACACATAACCGTATAGCAAATATAGGGGAGTACCTACCTATGTTCAATTCATCAGTTTTTACATTGCAACTTAAGAAATATTTTCGTGAATGACTGAGAGCATTACAATTGTTACACCCCCTCCCCTCCCTTCAAGTAATAGTATCATAATTCAGAGGAAATTCAAGTTTACAAATTGTGCAGCTAGATCATATGAAACGAGGATTTCATTAATGGTTTTTTGGCATTTGTCCTTTCTTCYAGATATTCTGGTTCTGAATTTTCATCCTACTGCTCTTCATCTTCTTTCAAAGATTCACCAGATTCTGAATCTTCGTCACAACGCTAATTTAATGAATTATTGCTTGYAGAGTTAACGTACTAAAACCGTGAAACAAATAGTACTAATTACTACTAAATAGTATTGATTAGACAATTAAAAACAAAGGAATTAGCATAGTTTATTACTATTTTGCACTATTCAAGCTTTACGGATTAAGTGCTTTCACTCTATCCATCTATTGCTATTTGTAGTTTAAGCAATAGATTAAACTGCGTTCTCGGGAGACTTGTTTTCAGGAAATATCCAGTTACTGCGGGCAACAATTACCGCATTATGCCCTCGATTCGACTACTCTATTGTTTTTATTATTCAAAAGCAAAGCGTTGGACTCTATTCACTGACAACATGAATAATACTTTTTAATCATTTATAAAGACGTCATAGTGTTTTCAAATAGTTAGGGAAGGTACGTTTATTATTGGGGGAGGGCTGGAGTGGGAGTGGGGAGGGTCATATATCATTTTTGCAAGCTTTAGGGGAGGGTCACATCTTCACTCGAAAGCTTATCTAGGGGAGGGTTATCCTAGTTTTTAGGTTTCAGCTAAGAAAAAATGTTATATCATCGAGTCAATTTTTCATGTATAGCCTGAGAAGTGTGAGCATGGGGTGGGGGGAGGGCCATCAGTATTTTTGGAACTTTTGAGGGGAGGGTCAAAAGTTTAGTTTTGGAATTACTGGGGAGGGTCACACATTCTTATGGAAAAATTACTCTGAAATCTCCAGCCCTCCCTCCCCAGTAATATAAACGTACCTTCCCTTGCATAGTGTATAGTGCTTTAAAAAGGTCGAACTTACTTCAATGATAGAATATAGTGTCAAGGGTAGTATTCTATTATTCACAAGAAAATAGTTTTGAGATTACCAATGAACTAGTTTGAGAGCCTGAAATGGTTAGTTCTTATTTTGGGGTCGCCTAAAGCAAAATTTAACTATTTTTTAGCCA